CTGCGTCCTGGCCAGGGATTCTTGGCAAATGAGATTGCACATGTGAGGTTTACGAAGAGCCTGCCGGTGAAAGAAGGGACGGCTAATCGTCGATGAGGTGAGATGCTCGACTATGCAGGCGAATGGGCAGAGTTACTTGACTGATACGGGAAATGGTGCAAGGGTCCAGGTAGCACACATGTATATTGATTCGCAATGGGCCAGCGTGTGTTCTTACATGACGAGAGGATGCGGGGCGTACTGCTCGTGTACGTTCGCTGCAAGCCGAGCTAGTCGACAGGCATACTGCACACAATTCAAAGGAGATTGCGGCGCGGTGTTGGTACAATACCCAGTTCTCTCAAGATACCGATGGCCGAGCACCAAGCGATGAATAGGCGACATCTGTACCTGCATCGGATGAAGATGAAGTTAAATTGAGAAGCATGAGGATGCTTGGTAGCCCCTGCATGTGGCAGGATGCGTTGATGGAGGGTCGTCAAGCGATATGGATCGGGAAGACGTGATATGATTTACCCGTCTTTACCGACGCATCCATCGAGCAAGTATCAACACGGCTGCGCGTAATGGGTACACATAATAGCGACAGGAAGCTATGTGCCGGGCTGATTTGTTAGACGCAGGGTGGCCAAACATCCATGTCGAGCCATGGCGTCGCCGTTCTGACCGTTCTGACGGTAGAAGCTAGAACTTGCCGGGTCATTAGTTTCGTGAATGTTCCAGGCCATAGGCGAGCTCATGATAGAGCATGAAGGGGCAACCTTGGAAGGCCTAAAGCAGCACGTCGGCCATGCGCCAATGCTGCGGCAGCGGGACGGGTCAACGGGTGTTGTGAGAGGTCGAGCCCGAGGTCGCGCCGGTTGTAGTCACGATCCCAAAAGCTCGAGGCGTGAGGCAACCCAGCAAGGAGCATCTAAAAGCTACGATAGCGATTATTGGAAGGGTGGTTGGAGACGTTTGACCGTAACGTGGGGTGAGTGGCATGTCTTGCGCGCACATGCCGCAAGTGTGCTGGTGGCTTGGAGATAAGGGCGGCCCGTGCAGCGTTGGACTTGGGGAAGGCACGCAAGCGCCACTAGGACTCGACACCGTGAGGTCGCCGTCGTTTGATAGCGCCGGCAGCCAGCGCCTAAAGACGTTACTGAGTCCGACGCGCGAGACGCAAATCTGGAGAACTGTAGAATAGAGTCAAGTGACCGAGAGTGACATTACCGCCTGCAGCTCTGCGGGTTTTTGGGACGTTTGGAGTCATCGGTGTCTGCCGCGGCCAAGGATGGAGGCGGAAGGAGCGAACTCAGCGAAGAAGGAGCGAATGTGCAACATTTCTCCGGTCCATGAGGACGCCGGTCCCCCCTCACCATGCTCCTTACAGGCTCCTTGCAAACGGTAAAGGTAATTGCTAGTCGGCATTTCACTAACAATCACATCACTATTGCACAGCTCTGCCCTTGGACAAGCTCTGCGTCTATTGATTCCATAGATGCGCCACGCTGCGATAACATCTCCCACACCTAAGCCAAATCTAGCTGCACCCCGGCTACTGCACATCCTAGTCGATAGTCCCAACCCGGCACTCTGGAAAGGACACTGACCCTGGGCGCCTCAGTTCCGTGGATGCGCTCGCGCCTCAAGAATAGGCCTAAGCCCTGCCAGTCTGGTCGTCAGCACCGCACTCATATCCCGCCCCTGCGCCCATCGCACAAGAGAAAGCAGATTCCTCCAACGGCTGCACTGCAGCGACTCCGACCGACGTGCAGGACCGCTGCACTCTACACTCTTTATCGTCGCTTGTCATCGCGCCGTTGCGCTTATCCACCATGACGATAGACGACGACATGTACGGCACCGAGAAGAGTTTTGGAAGAGCCTCGCAAGGGTCCGACTACTATGGCGAATCATCACGGTACCAGGACGGTTTGGGGAGGAGGGTCATCGAGAGCTTCAAGCGGGACCCGAATTTTGCCATGACTATGACGCCAAAGGGAAGCATGGGGGCCGACGGGAACGTCTTCGATCCAGAAGCCGCGGCGGCGAACACGGCAAACTCACCACTTGCGCGGCGACTAAAAGGTCGCCATCTGCAAATGATAGCAATCGGAGGTTCCATAGGTATGGTTTGGCATGCGTCGACCAAGCGACGATCCACAAACTGACTTTACCAGGTACCGGTCTATTCGTCGGCTCAGGGCAAGCGCTAGCAAATGGTGGTCCAGCATCGCTCGTCATTTGCTACTGCCTTGTAGGTATCATGTTGTACACCACCGTCCACGCATTGGGCGAGATGGCAGTACTCTTTCCTGTCGCTGGTTCCTTCTCGGCATATTCGACGCGCTTCCTGGATCCCGCATGGGGCTTTGCCATGGGTTGGAACTATGCTCTCCAATGGCTTGTCGTACTACCACTGGAAATCGTCGCTGCGACCTTTACAATAGAATACTGGAACGGTGACAAGGTCAACAACAACGCCTGGGTGGCCGTCTTCCTGGTCCTGATCGTCGTCATCAATCTTTTCGGTATCAAAGGGTATGGTGAAGCCGAATTCGTCTTTGCTATTATCAAGATCACAGCAGTAATTGGTTTCATTATCCTCGGTATCATCATCAACATAGGCGGAGGCCCAGATGGGGGTTACATCGGCGGCATGTATTGGCGCGATCCAGGTCCATTTAACAACGGCTTCAAGGGTCTCTGCAGCGTCTTTGTCAACGCCGCGTTTGCCTTCTCTGGAACTGAGCTCGTCGGTCTTGCCGCAGCGGAAACAGCCAATCCACGCAAGTCCTTACCTACCGCTGTCAAGCAGGTCTTTTGGCGCATCTCGCTGTTCTACATCGTCTCCCTGACTATCGTCGGATTGCTGGTTCCTTACAACGATCCGCGTCTGCTTCAAGACAAGAACTCTGCCGATGCTGTCGCCTCGCCCTTCGTCATCGCTATCCAAAACGCCGGAATCCAAGGCCTGCCCTCTGTTTTCAACGCCGTCATCATGATTGCGGTTCTCTCAGTTGGCAACTCCTCCATCTACGGTTCCTCGCGCACGCTCGCTGCACTCGCTGAGCAACACCAAGCTCCCAGGATCTTCGCATACATTGACCGCCAGGGTCGCCCTCTCGTTTCCATTGCTTTTGCTTCCTCCCTTGGTCTCCTCGCTTTCCTTGCCGGCGCGGACCGTAGGCTACAGGACGCCGCCTTCAACTGGCTGCTTGCGCTGTCTGCTCTCTCAGCGGTCTTCACCTGGCTGTCTATCTGCCTAGCACATATTCGCTTCCGTCAAGGTTGGAAAGTGCAAGGACACAGCTTGGATGAGCTCGCCTTCCGCTCTCAACCTGGCCTCATTGGATCCTACGTTGGCCTCATTCTCAACGTCCTCGTTCTCATTGCACAATTCTACGTGTCCGTTGCTCCAATCGACATGGACAAGCTTACAACATCACAACGTCTCCAGCGTTTCTTCAGCGTCTACCTCGCGCTGCCAGTCACCCTTGCCTTTTACTTTCCCTACAAGTTCTGGTTCCGCACCTCGGTCGTGCGTTCGCACAACATGGATCTCGTCACTGGCATCCGCGAGCTCAACATCCAGGCACTGATAGAAGAGGAGCGCGAGGAGAAGAGGAAGTGGCCAAGGTGGAAGAAGGTTTACAAGTTCTTTTGCTGAGAGACATTCTACGGCAGCTTTCTCTTTTGTCCTGTTCTTTTAGCGATGGCGCTACATTAACTTCTTTTCGCGGTGCTCCTTTGTGATACCAGGCGGCATGCTATATAGCATTGCGCAGCCTTGCGATTTGTTTTCTCTTTCTTCCTGTATGTTTACTGCTGGTTAGTATTAATAGACGCAGCATAGTGTCTGCACATATCTGTAGGATTGCAAGAATAGAAGAGAAGCTTAACGCTACCTAACATCGTGTACGACCAGGCATGTCGTTGCCTAGCTCAGAGTGTGAAGAAAGACAGCGCACCTTGGGTTCCAGGTTGAGCAAGCATGAAACGTCGGCTCGTACTTTTTCATATCACGACTTCCACACACCGGACGCTAATGAGACGTCTAAAAAAATCCCACCACCACCACAACTCTCCAAAACACCTCCATACAGTCTGTCGAGCATTCGAGACCCTTCACTGGCAAAAGGACATAGTCAAAACAAAAAGAAAGGTCTTGCCCGGAATCGAACCGGGGTTGCCGGAAGACACTGATTTTGAGATCAGAATCCGGAGTGATAACCGCTACCTATATGGTAATTAGCGGGGGCAAGCGAGAAGTGGATGTTGAACAACGTACACTACAAAACCGATGGAAGTTTGAGCTTGGCATAGATTATAAAGTAAGTGTGTCTGGGGCAAACCAGCAGACGATTGTGTGCGGAAGAAGGAGCGAGAGTGCAAAACTTTTCGGTCGCATGAGGTGGGGTGGCGGGGTTTCTGATCCAGATGGTGGGGTATTCCAGGTTTTGAAACCATGGAACGCGAACGCGTACGCGTGAACGGAACGAATCAGCTTGGCTTTGGTTGGCGACTACGACTACCTTTATCGTCCCATCTCCGCAGCGTCGTGTTGACAACATGGAACACGATCACGCCCTGCCATGAGGGAGATACAACTGCTTTCCACAGCATCCATAGTTACGCTTCCACGCAACGTAGCTACGACTGTATTTATCCTTCAAGTCTAGCCCCCTGAAGAGGTGTCCTACACGTGTGAGCAGATAATCAATTTTGATTGACGGAATCTGCATTCGGGCCATACGTGGGTACGTGAGCTAGCTACACGACACAGGATCCAAGTAAAGCAACTATGAGCGAAAAGCTATGCTCGTCGGTCAATCCAGTCTGAAAACTGTACACTGAACCGAGGACCAGGCATGAAGTACGTGGGCGCCCGGTTCCTGTAGGTTTCCTCCAACATTGCGCGCATAGATCTGATCCAAGGCGTGGATGCATTCGCCATGTCCCCTGACCGGTTATTCACCTGCACGCCTGTTAATGATGTGCGAGGTAACAGACGCGAATTAAGCATTGGTTACGGCCTGCACAATAGCGCCCTTGGCTCCTTGATCCAGACCGTCCAGCTTAGCCATGTCGTCCTTGTCAAGTTCGAAACCGTAGATGTCGGCGTTGCCAATAATGCGAGATGGCGTGTCGCTCTTGGGAAGAGGAACGTAGCCCTTTTGCAGACTCCATCGGATGAGAACCTGGTTTGGCTCCTTGTTGTGCTTCTTGGCGATGCTGGCAAGCGTCTCGTCGTTGGCTTTCTCGTTGCGGACGATCGGGCAGTAGGCTTCGACGACGATGTTCTTGGACTGGCAGTACTCGACGACCTCGCGCTGTTGACACCAGGGGTGGAGCTGGTCGTTTCTGTCAGTTTGGCGATGCGATCAGGTGGGAAATGTAACAAACCTCAATCTGGTTGACAGCAGGTAGGTTGGCCTTGCTATCAATGGAGGCAAGCTCGTCGATGTGCTGGATGCCGTAGTTGCTGACACCAATGTCGCGCACGATGCCCTTCTCCTGCGCTTGCTTCAGCGCAAGCCACATCAACTTCCTGGCCTCCTTGCCTCCGTTGGGGCTGTGGATGAGGAACAGGTCTGCGTAGCCATCCTTTCCGGCAAGCTTCTCAACGCTCTCGGCGACCTTCTTGTATGTAGACTCGACGTCTTCTCCAGCGCTTAAGATCTTGGACGTGATGTACACATCTTTCCGAGGGAGCCCGCTTTCCTTCAGCGCTTGACCAACTTGCTCTTCGTTCGCGTAGTACTGGGCTGTGTCGATATGACGGTATCCTGCCTCGAAGGCCTTCTTGCATGAGGCAACGCAGACGTCCTTTGGAGACAGGTAGACTCCGAAGCCGATTTGTGGAATCTTGTACTGCGATTTCGGAAGACTCAGAGTCGAATTGATGTTCAGAGAGTTCGCCGACATGGTGGATAGCGGGGTAGCGATGAATGGAGAATACTTGAGTGAACTTGTCAGCAACGGACGAGTACTGATGTGCCGAAGAGCAGAGTGCGATGAGCGGAGGAATTGAGAAGGTAGGAGCATACCAAGTTGTTGAGAGAAATGGAGTCGCCATCAAACCTCCTCTAGGTAGCTCTAGACGCATACTGCAGTCGCTCCTGCAGTCGTGATGTCACTGCTTGCAACTCCATAGTCGAGAGTGGGTCCACACACACGTTGTGAGCTTTGGAAGAGACCACATGGACGAGAAATCAGACGATTCAATTATATTACAACATTTGGTGGATCGAATAGGAAGGTATGCTGCATGGTGTGTGTGCTGGAAGTAGAAGATCAGCCTGGCGCGTTCTTCTCGCGCGACCGCGATCAGCTGTTCGCGCTAAGATCTGCCATCCCCACCAAGCACCAAGCGTGTCTTCCATCTTGTACACGCCCCAAACCATGCCTCGTGCAACTACAGGCAATATCTGACATTACTTTCTTGATATGAATCCGTCTTCCATGCTCAGCTATGGAAATCATCGAATGAATGGCCGACGTCATGATCTACCTACTGTTATACATTGGCATCCACTTGGACGCCTACCTGATCCTACGCACTCTGATGTTGCACATGGTAACACGAGAAGTATACGAGCTTATAAATTAAACGATGAAATGTACTTAATAACTGTCTTTATGGTGGAGAAACACCTTGAACTGCCTGCCACATGACAGCCAATCCGTCCACCCCGATTGTGTCACCCACGGCAGCCTGCAAAGAGATAGCAACCGAGCAGGCTCTACAACTCCATCAAGACCGGGGTTCGAGGTTCCTGGTATACGTACCAGATGATAGAGAAAAGCTTGCTACGACGGACGGCAGCATGACTCGGGCTATGTCGCGCTCAGATGCAAGGCTGTATGAGGGCATCAACCGCTTTAGACACCCGATTCGTGCACTATCAGAAGCGACCCCAATGGTCCTCAAGACCCTATTCTCCGATGGAGAAGTTCCCTTTGACTATGCTTCGCAAACGCTTCTCCTCATGATCACCTGACTATTTCCCAGCATCATCCCCAGTCATCAACGCAAGTCAGCCTCGCAGGTCGTGTCTCCCGGGTTCCAGATGACCACGGCATCTTTTCGGTACAGCTGCTGTCGGAGCAATAATAAAGTACTGAGTATGGGACGCCTTACTTCAGAGATATCAAATCCCATCACATCACACATGGAAATTGGCTGCCTGAACAACGCAGTATGCCCAGGTGATTATACGGCAAGGACGGCACTTGGCGCATGTCACGTATACTGTGCCTCATGTACAACAGCTCACATATACCTTGTAATTAGCCAGTCTCGCAGTAAAGAAGTAAAGAAGCTTTTCGTGGTAGAGGGCCTGATGTGAAGGTGGCACAGTGAAGCTCAGCGGTGTGGGTCGCTCAAGACATATAATGTGCTAGACCATGGCTTGCATGCGTCCTCCAAGATTGTAGAAGCCTCTACAAGTCTATACCTCCTACTCGTCTGTTATACCATCGTGGAGCTTAGCCATGTCAAAACGCTTCAAGATGTTGCTCCCAACCTCGTTTTTACTTACCTCGTTCGTGGCTTCCGCGTCCGCACAATACGCCCTCAACAGTTCCGTCGGTTCGTGTGCCGACGTACACTGCCCTGAGGCTTCCCTTGATGGAAGCAATGCCATTAAAGCAGAATGCAATGTCACCAACAGAACCTATGAGAGGATCGGGTTCAGATCCTTCTCCACCGCCATCCTCGATGACAATAACAATTTGACGTGGACACTCGCCGCCCATCTCGATACAGACGTTCCGATAAAGGACCAAACCACGGAGAAAGACTTCTATCTCGGCACCCCTCCGTCTCTTGAACTCGATCGCGACGACCTCCCGTACCGGGGTTGCGCTGTGTTCATATATAATACCACCTTTGGACGCAACTACTCATGGGATTGCGCAGAGGCAATTGGGGCGAGCTGCATTTCGTCGCTGGTAACGCAGGCCAACACACTGCTGGCACTCTCTCCTTCTAATGCAACAGAGACAACGGAAGAGAGCTGCATGCGCGTGCAGAGAGGAATGGAGACTTTCCCAACGGAATGTACAGAGAAGACAAACATGACTTCCTGGAATGCAATTTCAGCCATACGTTCGTGTCCCCATTTCATTCAAAGAGATAGCCCTGTGCTAACTTCTTCTAGCACTTACTGGCAAGGGAGCGCCTACGCCGCCAAACTCTTCTGCCAATGCGAGCTCTAACTGTCATCCGACCCTCCCCAATTCCAACGATCTCAGTTTGGCCTTTAGCCATAATGAGACCGGCGTGGGGTCCTATACTGATATCATCATCACCACATTCTGGTCGCCAGACAAAGGCGTCGACAATGCGCTGAGTGTTCCCGACACACAGCTCATGTGCCTGTGGGTAAATGGGCTTACAGACGCCTCGGTGGCTACTCATACCGAGAGTTCGGCCAGTCGTTTCTCCATCAGCATGGTGGGTCTTGTAGTTTGCGTGGGCTTAGGTGTTTTTGGACTCATTTAGCATGCTCATATGGCTGGATTCAGTAGTTCGCGGGCGATGCTGTGACATACGACTTAGTATGGCACGTAAATGGAAAGCTTGACGATGATGATCTGAAAATATGAGAAAGTATGTAACTGCACATTAGACAACGTGGACTGGCAAACGAGTTTCATGACCGAGTATATTGAATGTCATGTTTGTCCTCTGACTATTCCCATTCACTGATAGCGATCATCGTGTATTCCCGTCGTTGGATGCTTCGTAGACCTAGTTGATCTTCTTGAGCTCGACCTCGCTATCGCGGAGTTAGCACTTTCGTGGAATTCATACGCGACGCGAACTTACAAGATGAGGTCAGAGTGAGGGGGGATCAAGCCAGGGAACTCCCTATCATGAAGTCAGTACTAGGTCTTGATCAGAAAACATCATGGAGGCTTACTGGTCGCCGTAAGCGAAGTCGCTGCTGATGTCCAGCTTCGCCTTCTCGCCGAGCTTCATCTGAACAACACCCTCATCCCAGCCCTTGATGACGCGACCAACACCGATGGGGGTCTGGAAGGGACCACGGCCAGTGGTGCTGTCGAACTGCTTGCCCTTGTCGCCGGACTGGGTCTTGAGCCAGCCAGTGTACTCCATGGTGACCTTGTCACCCTTCTGTGGGGATGGGCCGTTGCCCTCTTGGATGATGGTCTTCTGGACACCCATGATGCGTGCGGTCGTGGTGAAAGCTCGAGTTGTTGCGCGTTGGAAAGAGGAAGGATTAAGGAGGCTTCTCATGAAGTTGGAGGGTGAGAGGGAGATGAGTGGAGGATGGAAGGTTGCTGTGGGCGGAAAGAAGGAACCTGGAATGCCTTGGAGGGGTAGCTTTAGTGGGGTGGTGGGGTGCAGATCGTCAGCACACAGCCTCATGCACGCTGCAAGGGCAAGGTAATCAGGGCAAGTACGACGAGCATGACCAATGAATCGAGCACGTCAGTACTTGAGGGTGGGTTGACGGCTTGTCTGGGGAAATTGCGTGATCGCATCTACGTCAGGGCATTGGAACTGGAGTTCGCGCTTGCCGCGGTAGGAGAGTACAAGCTATAGCTCTAGATGCATGTGTGTGGCTGGGACGAAGATGCTTCGGCGATGGCGTTAAAGTTCTGCTTGTCGCATCTAGTAGCAAGCGCACTGAGGTTGCTTACATCCTTCCACAGACTATCTGACAGTCAATTGATCTTCATGTCCAATAGACCAGTACCTCCAGTGGATCCAAGTATGTTACAGTAAACGTGAACCTTTGTCAAACGCCGTGCCTATGAAGAGAGGAGATGTTGTACATTTGCGCGTCCCAAATCTTGCCCGCATTGCTCAACCAAACCATGACTTGTTCCTTCTCGCTTCTCTCCTTGCTTCTTGCTGTATAGGTATTAGCATCTCTTCCGTGGCGGTTTCGCGACGCGTTGTACGGCATGGAGGGATAGTCGCGGTCGATTGGATCGAGGGTGGACAACACGTACCCATTGCTCTTTGCATTCTCGGTATGCCCTGATTGAACACGTATTAGCGGAAGGCCTCCTTATGCAATGCTGGGTCTTGAACCTCCGATGTACTGCACTTACTGGAAGAAATCCGAGCACATAGCTCTCTCACCACCATTCCTCTTCAAACACTTTATACTCTTGTCTGCCGCCTCTTGGCATGGATCAAAGTATTCGCTATACGCTTTGCTATACCAATCTATCAGCGCCTGTTGTGTGCAACATACATTTGCGACGCGATCGTTGCGGTGGCGTACTTGTCGAATTTGCTGGCTTTGGAACCCTTCCATTCGTCGGCTTTCGAGGGGGTCGGTTTGTCGGACATAGTGAAGAGCGAGGAAAAAGACGTCTAAGGAGTGTGTACAGGGCGCGTACTGGCGTGTAATTGTCGGGCAGCCTGAAGATGGCCGGGAGCAGTTGCGACGAGAGTGGATGATGCGCCGCGGAGGTGCGTTATCGATAAGGACATACATGAGGTCAAGAGGCACTCACGCACTTTCCCGATATCACTAATTGCCTTGCGTATCCCAAGGTCCGCAATACCGGCACTAGATCTTAGTATCTGATAACGACAGCCCTCCAATTACAGATCCTGCGACTGCTAGGCTCCATAACAGCTGCCAATTATGAATGATTTGAGCTAATTCCTTTGCACTCAAGAAGACCTAACTTGGCGGCTTGCTTCCTCACTACCTGCTATTGATGCCCACGCGTAGAACCGCAGAGGCTAGCCAACGTATACATGCCTAGGTACGTGACGACCCGTCTGGTTCCATCAACGCTTCATCCAGGGTGGGGGCGGGAGGACTGCGGGCGCTAGGACGACCAGCCCACATAAACAGCATGTCGCGTGTATCAAGACGGCTGTCGTGCCATCCACAACTTACGATTCTACTTACGAGATAGTGCTAGCACCCTAGTCATGAGTTGTATGCTTCATTCATGTGATTGACAAGCGATCATGTACCTTGGTAACGTATTTGGCCAGGACTACAATTGCAGAAAATCACCACGCTTCGTCAGGCTAGGCGGTCTTGTGCACAGTACAGGTTATATGACTTGATCGGGGCGGTGCGCAGCTTGAGGACGATATTGAAGGATATCCCGTCTGACGCACTTGAACAGTGCGGCCAGGATGCTTGTCATGCTTCGCATTAGAGGAGCCGACAAGGTCCCGCCTACAATCACAGGCACTCCTTCTCGAGAACGCTATGCATGGACCTGATAAGTGTCGAGCACGAATACTCCAACCGCAGTGATGATCAGCACTCTGAGTGAAGCGGAGCGGAGACGGGTATGAGCTGTGAGCGCAACAATGAAGGTCAATTCGACCGCGTCTGCATGTGGTGGTGCCGCGCCGAAAGCTAGGAAGCTTGTGGGGAAAGAGGCCCTCTTTCGTGCGCCGGGAATACCAGGTATTGGCGTCTTTGAACTGTGGTCGTTTGGGACCGCGGCTCAATGTAAAAAGGATCAAAAGAAACCTGAAGCAAAAACGTTGAATGATGGCATGGGCGAAAATGGAATGTGACAGGAACGTGACGAGTCGCGTGGCCCACGTCATTGGCGTGTCAAGCTTGCAATAGAAGCACTGGGTCCAATGAGAAATGACCAGGTATGAGAGCAGAGATAGCCATGGGGATGGTTGGCGATGGTTGGCGCTGGAGGGTGGTGATTTTCCACGGCAGGCGCTAAGGATGGAGTGAAGGTCGATAGTGAACGGCTGCTGCGGCAAATGGCCGGAGGGCAAGGGCAACAGCGACCGAGCGCCAACATGCCTAGGCTAGTAGACCCGCTGCTGCATGCATAACCACTGCCAACGATAGTCTTTCTTCTCTACAAGGGCAAGTCCCATGTGAGCAGATGCTCCGTCTCTCAACCCCCAGCTGCACCTCGCCGTGAGAAAAGAGAGTCACCGCCCGCCATGGACAATCGAGCGTCGCCAACCCCGCCCACCGCTCGCCCCAGGAATTCCGCCTCGTCCATCGCATCCTCGTCCAACACAACGTCACATGCCGCGCCTGCCTCGCAACAGTCTGCCGGCATGCCTTCAAATTCACGGGCCGGGCGCGGGAGCACGCCGACGGCCAGCCGGTCTGCCTCCAAACTCATCGACCAGGACAAGCCGACGCGGGCAGCAAGCAAAGACAGCCTCAAGCAGAAGATGCTGACCAAGAAGGACGAGCCGCCACAGCTGGGCCGCGCAGATGAAGTATGAGACTCTTTATTGCATAGCACATGCATCGGCTAACCGTCCGCAGCAGCTCAAGGCGCTCAAGTCGGAGTTTGACAGCCTTCGCACGCATCTCACATGCAAGATCTGTGACCGCTTACTCTACCAACCGTACACCATATCCTGCGGGCACACCTACTGCTATACAGTAAGACGCGCACCCTCCCACCGCATATGCCACCCTCTAACATGCCTAGTGTCTCTGCACGTGGTTCGTCGCCAACAAGGCCCGCAAGACATGCCCCGACTGCCGCATCGTCGTAAAGGACCTGCCCGCCCCCGCCTATGTGGTAAGTCAGCCTGCATGCCCTTCAGCGACGACGTCTAACATAGTTGGTCAGATACGAGACATGACGAGCGTCTTCATCGCGCGAGCCGAACTACTACCTACGGGCGAGAGCATAGAAGACCACAAGAAGTGGCAGAAAGACGAGGCAGATGCTGTGCAGCTGGACAAGGATAACGCAGACCCCCGCGCTGGCGGTCTCTTCAAAGGCTGCTTCAGGCTTCCGCCTCACCAAAACCGCCTGTCACTGCAAATCGTGCGCGATCAAGAAGATGGAGTTGACCGATGTCCGCTGTGTACCTGGGAGCTGGAAGACGGCGGATGCACCCATTGCGGACTGATATTCGACGAGACAGGCGAAGTCTCATGGGGCAACAGCTTCACCGGCTTCAGTGACATGGACGAGATGTCAGAGCACGACCAAGACGACCTCGACGCCGAAATGGACATGGAGGACCCCGACTACGACGGCTACGGAGACGGCATGGAAGACTGGGGCGCATACCCCCCAGACCAAGGCTCGTTCATGATGCGACGCTTCTTGGACGCTGGCATGGCACCCAATGCAGCGGCATTCGCAAGACGACGACCGATCACGCACAGCGAAGCCGGCAGCCGACGCTCCTACTCACAGAGCATAGTCTCAGACATGTACGGCGACGAGATGGATACGGTCGAGGAGGAAGACGAAGATGGTCTGGACGAGGACTCTTCGATGAACGACTTTATCGATGACGAGGCCGTACCTGCATCGAGTGCACCCAGCGCCGCATCGTCTACTCCTGGCCCCGCTGCCCAGCCTTCGGGCAACAGAGCGCGTGCCCGAGCACGTCGCATCGTCGAATCTGAGTCATCATCAAACCGCTCAAGCACCGTCGAGGAGGAAGACGAAGATGAGGAAGACGAGGGGCCCGTTCGTAGAGGCATGAGGAATCCTGCTCAAACCCGTGTTTTACATCGGGCAAACGGGTCGAGATCCTCCCGTGAGACAGCGTCAACAACATCCACCGACGTCTCCACTGAGGAGCTCGACGAAGATACACAAGCACTGTTGCGAGAGGAGGGATGGGAGCTACAACGCGACTACGACGACGAGATGGGAGAAGAGGATGAAGATGACAGTGATGGAGGAAGGACGACCGTTGGGTGGGAACCGCTTGCGAACTCAAATGACAGAAGCCGAATGGGCGGTTCTCTAACACCTACTGCAGATCGTCCTCGGCCTAGTGCCCCGATACGCCCGCCTTCCAGAACCGCCAATGTCCGCGTCTTGAATACCTCGCGTGGTCTCCGTCGAAGATCCTCTGTCCTGTCGAGCGCGACAGCCCACTACGAAGATGGGGAAGCGGACGACGATGATTCTGACCAAGATGGCGACGTCGATCTAGCCCTGAACACCTTGCGGACGCGCCGCTCACAAGCCCATTTGCGAAACCCTGCAGCTCGCGCTTACAACCAAGGGCCTGCTGCTGCGGATGGGACCAACGAGGCGGACACTGATGATAACTCGGATAATTCCCAAGGGCACAGGCGAGGGGCTCCTCGCGTGCAACGTCGGGAATACGATCCGCGTATCAGCTGGATGTTCGCTGCCCATCAACAAGCTCTTCAACAACACCAGATGGCAGGCGCCTTGATAGACGTCGAACCACGCACCATGACGCCGCTGTCTCGTCCTCGAACAAGGAACAGAAATCGGCCCAGTCCCGCGCAAGCTTATTCCCCCTTTCTACCTCCTGCTCGCATTCGAACGCCGCTTATGGACAACGGCACGAACTATATCATGGATCCGCGACTCCCAATATCGCCACCTCGACGAAGCGCCATGTCACCTGGCTTACCAGCGATGGGCAATGCCGGCCACATGGGCCGCTTTGATCGTGCGCCTTCTGTTGGTTCCAACAGCAATAGTTCTGCCGTCTTGACTCCTGGAAGTTCCTCAGCCTCTTCGCAACACTCCATCGATACGATAGCACAGACACAGGCAGCTGCAGCCATGGACATGATAGATCGTCCTATAAGTCGAGTCGGTGCTCGCCCATCTTCGGCAAATAGCAGGAGGAACTCTGGCAACTTTGCTGCAGCGAATGCGTTTCCTCATGCTGCCATGGGCCTGCATGTCCAGGGTGCGGCTCTTCCTCCTTTTGCTGCGCGCGGTAACCCTTGGGCTGCATTTGTTCAGGCACGTGGTGTGCGCAATCGTAACTCACGTCAAGTTCTCCGTGATCAGTCTTCGGTAGCTACCTTGCGCCCAGCGAACTCTCGCGTCAATATTAGAGAGGCTGGCAACCCTCCGCAAGGCGTGAGGCCTCAGCCATCACGTCTCAATCTACGACCTCAGCCATCGCGGCGCCAACTCGCTCCTCAGCCATCTACACGAGCCTTGCGCACGGCTGATAATGGGAGACCTCCCCCATCACCTACACAGAACGTACAAGCCCCTGCGCAACCTGCTGCTCGTTCCGTCGGGCTGACTCCAGACGAACGCAATCTTCGGGCTCGGGAACTTATCGAGACCAGAAGACAAGCACTTGGTCAGCGAGACACGAGTGTGCCCGCTCGTACCAATCCCTTCACACAAGGCTTCCAGCGTCCGGCGAATCCAACTGGCTCTCCTCAGATGCAGCAGCCAGCTACAGCACAACACGTGAGGAGCAACTCAAACGAGTCCAGCAACTCCACTGGGACGGTTCAAGGTGCTCCTGCATCACCAGTGCTTGGTCGACGCCGTAGCAACCGCAACATGCTAAACTCTACGCCACCCGGTGTTCTCCCACCGCAACAAGGTGCTTATGCTGCTCCTCCCGCACAGTATGCAAACAGCTACTACCGACCACGGCCAGGATCTTCGGGCTCACCCGGAGCATATGAACCCACTTTGACGAACAACACGCGGGGAAGTCCTATGATGGCGGGCCCTCTTATCTAACACGATATCATGTCATAAGATATATTTCTTTTATTTTATCGCTCTGTTGCTTTGGTGTTTTGGGCATCACACTCCTTTAGTCTTGGACTATTCTTATCTTTTGGGGCTAAGAGCATGGCGAGCGTATGTTTGTTTTTACGTCTGTTTTTAGCGGCATCAAAATGGGTTCAGCGAGCTTTGTCGAAGCATTTACTGGCGTCATTCATTCGGGTACTATACCATGGCATGAGCGATTGGGTCCTGGGCAGGCATAAACATGAACGATGGGGAAGAAAGGGGATATTATCTTAGGTTATTCGCATTTGGGATGATGAATATGAGATTTTTGATGGTGCTATACTTGGAACTACACGACGGTGACAAGCTAAGTATGTTCTGAAGCAGCTGTTCCAGACTTGTTCTTAGGTTGCTTGCGCTGGTCCTCCCTTGCTTCCTATACCTTGTCTTCTGAGTCCTCTTCTAGATCCTCTTCATCTCCTTCCTCGGCCTCTTCTACTTCGTCCCCTACTTCGTCTCCTTCGACTTCATCTCCCTGTTGCTTTTTTTGCTTTGCGTTCTGCTCCTTCTGCTTTCGCTCCCTGTTTGCCCGTCCCTCATTCCACACCTCCGTGTTCTTATCTCTACATTCCTTACAGTTCACCCAGTTGGAACGGGCATTGTCTTCCAGGTAGTTCTCCTCACACTTTTTGCATAATCTTGGCTCCTTCTTGCTTCCGCCCTTCTTGATACCTGTCTTCTTGACGGCTCGTGTCTTGACAGTTGTCTTGGCAGCTGTTTTCTTGATGCCTGTCTTCTTTGCTTCGACTTCTTGCTGATCCTCACTCTCTTCATCATCTTTGTCATCCTCGGCTCCTTCATCGTCGTTGGTATTGCCTACCGGCGCAGCAGAAGACCTCAGTTCGAAGCCATAGAGGAAGTGGAGTCTATCTGTCTTTTCCTTGAGTTCCTTCTGTAGAGCTGCAATGCGCTCAATTAGGGTTTTGATCTCCTCACGGAAAGGAATTGGTTGCATGGGAAGTGACATTTCGTGATCTTATTGTTTTTTTATTAGCTCTTCCAGTGGTCTACATGTATGGTAAGGCCTGGTTTGTCTGTTTGTATAGGCGGAAACCAAAGGAAAATGCAAGTTGGCCGGAGAGTGATGTTGGAATGTTCTCGTACTTGAGTGTGGGCGACATGACAAACTGCGTTATGCGTGAGAAGTCAGATTGATGCTACAGCATGTTCCCGAAAAGAGTATCATGACTCTTACTTGCTTAATCTATGACTTCACGTCTTCACCACGGAGAAATACACTGAGCTCTAGGCCTGTCCATGCCCATATCCCATGTCTTCATACCACTAACTACTCTCTGCGGTTATGCTAGGCAAAGTTGATCTACCCCAACGCCTATGCCCCCAATCACTCTTGCTCATCCATCAACGCATCCATCCTGTTCGACACCCCCTCTAGGTGCTCCCGGGATCTCTTCTCAGTCTCCTCCACGTTCGATAAGCCCTTTTTCAGCCATTCTCTCAAGTCTCTGAACCAGTAATATGCCGAATCTTCCATCTTCTCCTCCTCCTCCCTCAACTCTTCAGTCAATTTCTCCGCAGCCTCAGCTCTAACCCACTTTCCATCACGGTTCCTGGCGGCGACCGCCTTGCTGAATGAAGTGAGTCTTTCATTTAGTCCAGCTTTGTTGGCGGTCTTGATATTGCGTTCCATGCGATCGAATCGTTGGGCAAGACTTTGTATGTCAGTTCTGATTGCACTGATGTCTTTCAAGAGAAGTTGACGAGCATCTTTGGCGGGTTGGGTGGCCGGTTTGATGTCTTTCTTCTGGAGGAATGGCGGGTCCATTGAGCTTGTGTCTCCTGTCGTTGTGGTGATGAGATTAAGATGAACAGGATAGGAAGAAGTGAGAAATCGGGTGTCTTATAGTGCTACTACACTACATCCCTTGTGAGTTTGTCACAAACCGAATGACTGGTTCGCATGACTACATGGCAAATCAGCGGTTTTCTAATTCATGGTACGCATGCTATGAGCTCGATAGCCGTCCTCGACCGTTAAGGGTCTCCTAGTAACGAGGTGATTGCACGTCTTAACAATGATTCAGCCTTCTATATTCACAACTATGCAATCAAGGTGATGCGTCACGCTTATGATAACAAATACTACAAGATCGGTGGTAGACACACGGAGGCGATGCATCCACCGATCTAAAGACAACAACCATCTGTCCTACATCTCAGCTAACCACCTCCCTTCTCGGCCCTTCCCCCCTGGCTATCAGCTACTTTTCGAGCTCGTCAATCCTCTTCATAACCTTCTCAACCGCATTCCCCACCATCCACTCCAACTTCTCGTAGATCCATTCCGGCCCCGCAACAGTCACAGCCTTCCTCGCGTATTCTTGCTGCATCTCCTTCATTTGCTCAGTCTTCATCTCATCAATGACCATACATGAAATCATGTCTGAAACCATCTCCCCCCTCACGGTTTCCTCCACGCAGGTTTCCAACAGGGATTGGAATTCCTTGATCTTATCCGTGATGGTCTTCTTGCCTTCTTCTGCGTCGTTGCGGATCGTGGCGGTGCTTTCGGCAGTGAGAGTATTGACAGTGTTGGTGAAGGCGACAGTTGCGGTGACGAGAGCCATTTTGCTCTCGAGATCTGCGTTCTTGTTGCGCAGGTCGTTGATCTCGCTGGGGAGATCTTTTGTGTCGTTCTTCATGGTTTTCAACTCGTTTTGGAGGCGCTGGAGAGTTGTTTCCATGGCTTTCTGTTTGGTTTGTTGGGAAGTGGACATGCCGTGATGGTGTGATGTGAGAACGGTACCGGATGGCGAGAGATAGGTTGTCTTATACAAATCTGGAAATTGTTTGAGTTGCGCTCAATAAGTGCTGCGCGTGGGCTAGATGGCAAATACACATGCTATCTTGTGATCTCGGACGCAGTATGAATGTCACGGATCGCAGTCACCTACTCAGCCCTACCTGTGAGTTGTAAGCATCCATTTCGGCACTCCTCATCTCAGATTTGTTCCCTAACACGACGCCTCTCAGCGTCTATTTGTCATTTCTACGTCACAGCGATTACGCATTAGAGAATTGTACGAGATTTAGGAGAAATTAGAGCTTGACTAGTAACTCGACGAGATCGCCATGCTCACACTCTTGACAGCCGATGTTCCAGTCCGAAAGACATGGAAGACTGCGGTGATGATACAGCCGACAAGCTCCTCCCCTCGTACACCAACATGATCGACGATGTACATCAAGTATCCCTTCATAATACCAATCCACCAAGTAGACGCCCGCTTGTAGCACCGCGACGAAAGTCTCTCGTAAGATTCCAACACCCTCCTCGCCGTGCACGGCCGCCGACAAAGTTGATTAGTCCTGATTCTTGAACTCGCTCAGCTTCTCAAGCGGCTGACCCTTCAACAGCTTCAGCTCCTTACGGTACGCCTTTCCTGCCTGTCCATCTGCCCCAGCCTCAGCCGTCGACTTCAGCTTCTCTAGCAGAGCCTTATTCTTCTTGAAGAGGTTCCGATAGTGCGTGAACATACTGACCATACGCGTCTGTAGCAGGCCCTTGTCTTTGATGGCGGCCTTCTTCTGCATCCTCATCTCGTGCTTCGACTCGGAGTCTCGGCTGAGCTCGGCAAGCTGTTCACCTCGCTCGCGGAAGTCTCCATCCAGCTTAGCGAGTTGTCGTTGCAGTTTCTCGATGTGCTCGCGTGCGACTGAAGCTTCTTCTGCTGACTGCTTCGCGGCTTTCTGGTTGTCGATAGCGGTACGGCGCTCAGTGCCCAGCTCCGCGAGTTTGCCGGACATGTCGGTGTTTTGTGCAGCCAACCCTTTGTTCCTTGCCTTGAAGCGCTTGATCTCATTCTTGAGTTTCTTAGTCTCAGCTATGGCGGCCTTGACGTCTCCATTGGATCGTCGCATCTTCTTGGACGCAAAGAGCTTCTTCTGCTCACAGAGGTCCTGTGTCAAGGCGGAGACATTGGCCCTCAGAGTACTGTGCTCGTCTTTGAGTTGCTCGAAATTGTTTGTGAGGTCGGTGTTCTCTCCTGTGAGCTTCTCGTTGCGTTCACGTAGCGTCTTCAGATCTTCTTCGTGCTCGTCTTTGAGTTGCTTGACATTGCGTACAAGTTCAGCATTCTCTCCTGTGAGCTTTGCGTTGCGTTCGCGCAGTATGTCCAGATCTTCTCCGGCAGCTTCTTTCTTTTTTGCCTTGTTCTTCCACATACGAGTCTCATCTTGGAGGAGACTGATGGTGCACAACAGTTGAGTCTTCTCATCAGAGAGCTTCTCGTTGGTCTCACGAAGTATCTGAATCTCCGCACTAGCATCGTCTTGAGCCATGCCCTCCACAGCGCCATGTCCGTCTCGAACTAGCTTGACACTGCGCGTGAGCTTTGTCTTGTCCTCTGTAAGCTTCTTGTTACTCTCGCGAAGTATCTTGATCTCTGTCGAGGCGGTCTTCTCCTTTGCCTCATACCTCGCCTTCAACATGGCTATATGATTCTGGGCGATGAGGTTGTGCGAAACATTCACTCCTCCCTTCTGCTTGACTGCTTCTTCTAGCTGCGCGATGTACTGATCAGTACGCTCTTGCTCTTCAAGGAGGGATTTCTCTTGGCTTTCCAAGGCCTCCTTGCCCAGCGCTGCTTCCAGAACTTTGCGTGTCGCGAGCATGAATGTAGATTTCTGTCCTGGGCCACGCGCCGTGGTGTTGATCTCAGCAGCAATAGTCAAGGCATTTCTATCGCCGATCTGCGCTCTAGCCGCAGAGCTGGAGGAGACTGCCCAGGTCGAGAAGTCAGAGGGTCCTGTATGCATTGGACCTTGACCAATACTGACTGGTTTTCTGGCCGCAGGGCTTGGTGAGAGAGCTTGAGCGAAGATGTTGTTGGAGTTGACACGTGGTGTAGCTTGATCACCCTCGCTTCGCTTTCTGGTCGCAGAGGTAGGAGTGACAGCCTGAGCCGATACGTTGTTGATTTTCGTGCGCTTTGTATCCTGGGGTCCGCCGTTCCGCTTCTTGGCCGCCGGGCTTGGGGAAACCGTCTGAGCTGAGACGTTGTTGGGGTTTGCGCGCTTTTTGGCTGGACGACCGTTGCCTTTCGGGGCGCGCGGCTTCTCGACCGATCGGACGAAGATGATATCGTCGTCGTCGCCCGAGCTGCTCGAATCAGAGCTTAGGATGGTGTATTCTCGTTGCATCTGCTTGTTTTAGTGCCAGTATCTGCTGGGCAGGTTCGGCGCCGAGTACTTACCGTGTCTGCGGACCTGTTGGGTTGTCGTGTTTAGGCAACGGAGCTTTGAGCTGGAAACAGTGACTATCTGTCGAGACTGCCGCACACGCGGTGAAGGTGAGGGTGACTTGCTGCTAGCTCGGGCGGCAGGACGACCGAATCTGGCTATTGTGGTGCACGGTGAAGGAGAGAGTTGTTGCCTTGTAACTTCAAGCATGCACGCTGTGTCCAGTTATGTAAACATGATCGAAGGTGAAGACGAAACTTTAGCGGATGCTACGGCCTGGTGCCCTTGCGAGTTCAGTTAACAATGAAGGCCTTTCAAGGACATGTCGAGGTCATCATATCATATCTGCCACAGCTTCCATGCTCTTATGCGTCGCCCGATTCATATGTGTTTACTGGGGGCAAAGGCAATCTAGCCCGCTTGGTGCCGATTGCGACGCGCGGTGAACGAGAACACAGGCTGCCAGCCATAATCACTGTCAATGACGAATCTATCGAATCGACGAGGGCGTTTCATAATGACTTTCTTGCCAGAGCAAATTGTGTAGATGATGATGATACTGTGATGGTGTCGAAAGGAAGGAGATGTGTTCACTCAAGGTTTAGCTTGGGAAGGCGTCTTCCGCTAATTAGCAACCTGGAAAAGTGCATCATTGACCCACCCCGACACGCGACGTTAGACTCCTCGATACCAACTGGCAGCTCTTCATGCTGAGTGAAATCGTGGAAACGAAGCTTTGTGATATTCTTGATCATGATCCTGGATTGCTACTAATAACTAGTTGCCAAGTGGCAGGATACACTGCACTGCAGAAGAAAGCGCTCCGTCGCCGATGCCAAACTCCCTGAAAATGCTCGTCTGGAAACACGCGAATGTCTAATATCCCATCCCCCTCTGCAATACCTCTACTTCTTCTTGAACAAGCCCTTCCCGAGCAGATTCTTTAGCTTGCTCTCCTTCTCCTCATTGCTCATGTTAGCCTTGCGCTTGCCGTCGGCAACCGTCTGGCCCTGAGAAGCCTGCGGCTGAGCCCTCTCTTCCCGTACCGGTTCCTCGACCTTGAGCGCCTGCGCCTTCGCTTGCGATTCCTGCGAGAGCACATGTCGGCTGGCCCTTGCTTCCGCGCTAGCGTTGTCTGCCCATAGGAACGTGACGAGCTCATTGTTGAAGAAACGTAGATCGTGCACTAAGCGCTTATTGTCCTGGGGAATGAGGACGAGTCGACCTGTTGGACCCGTGTTCTTGAGCTGGAAGGGCTCGTTCTTCTTCTCCAGGAAGCCGCGTACGAAGTCGTATAGGCCGACGGCGGTATCGGTCTTTGTGAAGTTCATCTGAATGAGCGCATTATCCGGCATCCGAATGCGGAGTGCGCCGCCCTTCTCGGCTGCAGCGTCAATCTTGGCCTGCCGCTCCTTTTCTTGCTCCTCCAACTCTTTGTCAGACAACAGACGCGTATTGCGTGTCTTGGTCAACAACGCGTTTTGATGTGCTTTTGCGTGTTCAATGGTAGGGAGGTAGTCGTTCTCGTTGAAGGCATTTCGCGCTGCTTGCGGAGTGGACGATGTTGGCGCAGAGAAGATCTGGACGTTGCGAGATTGTTCAGATGGCTGTGATGATGGTTGGGGGGTCGGTGCTGGTGATTGAACGGGTTCTACGGGCGCGGACGACGCTGTTGACGTTGCCGAAGCCAATGCTGCTGCTGGAGAAGTATTCTCTATGCTCTCAGCCGCGTTGTTCTCGGTAGACACCTCGGGCTCTTGTGTAGGTTTAGCGGCCGGTTCGGAGTCGACCTCCATCGGCTCTGGATCGGGCTCTTCGTTACGAACAGTTTCGCCTGCTACGACTTCTGTCGCCTCCGGAGCTGCCTGGGCAGGGTCTGGTATTGAGGCTAATTGATCAGTTGTCGAAGCGTGTGCGCCTTCGGCACCGACAGACGCAGGCTCGCTGGACTTGAAGTATTGCGTTATCTGTGCCATGGCCTCTTCCAGCGGCGTTCCGCTATTCCTGTAGGACAGCTTTAATAATGCTGAGCCGCTATCGAATCCCAGCTGACTGAGAGTCTGTTGTAGCTCAACAAAGTTGGCCTGCTCCTTGTGACCTGGCATGACAGTGATGACAGGTTGCTCGTAGTGCAGCCTGCCAGCACCGGATGCGCCGCTCATCTCGGGGATGCCGCGCTGTGTGAAGTTGTAGTTGGCCCCCTGCCCACTCTCAAAGTGTCGCAAGATCTCCCATAACGAAGTGTTGCTCGCGAACTTGCTTGTGAGGCGTACGTTCTTCTCGGTCGCGGGGAGCTGGAGCGCTACGGATATGACGGTGGGTGATCGCGAGGCCTGGACGAGTTCCAGTCGGGCGCCCTGGGGGAGGTTTGCGAGCCGTATTTGTTGCGATAGGGATATGGGTTTGTTGTTGTATCTGTACACTGGTCAGTAGTGAATTAACGTATTGTCATGTTGGGGCGTACTTGAGCGTGAACTGGTCCTTGTTGACACCAAACTTCTGGCACGCCTCATCGCGCACCTCTGTCAAGTACTTG